TTCTTCCCAGTTTCCAAAGGATCATCTCACTCTTGTTTAAATACCATTATTTCTGAAGCATTGTTTGAAATATGCTCAACATTTATATAGTTTTAGCTTTTTCACCATCACAAACAATAATGTAGGTAAATATTTGTATAGCAATATCCTTGTAAGAAAAACAACAACAACATGGTAATTGTTTCTTAGAGAATAAATCAGAAAATATCAAATTTCTCAATTAAAGGCATGTAGACAGTTAAGGGTTTGACACCTATTGTATATTGGCCTTTTAGAAAGTTTGTTCCCACTTATCCTACCAGCCGTTGGCTGTGAGAGTGTGATTTCTTCACGCTATCACCAAACCCAGGGGTGTATCCTCTTTATATTCTCGGTAAATTTGTGATTGCTCATTGCTCTTCCTACTCAAAGTGTAGGAAGCTCACATCCCAAACAACTCCCAGGCAGACAGCATGTCACTGTTCAAAGAATTAGAAGGAAGGGAGACAGCCATTGCCTCAATATATAACCTGATGCTCAGAGTGGGCAGAGAGGAAGCTGGGCCACTTTCACTAACTGTGTGTTGACTTCACTGAAGACAACGATCTTCAAATTGGGAAGTGTTCAACCAAGAAAGGAGGAAGTTGGGGGCTGTTTTAAATTATACCCCAAGATAAGGAAAACCCAGGAGGAACCAGAAGTTTGGAACATTGTGAACACTTTTCAGAATAGGACTCTTGGTTCAAATATTGGAAGGATATCATTGCCAAGATGGATGAGACTGAGTCTCCATAATTCTAGGGGCACGATGCTAGGGTGCTAGGATGAAATGGTGGGATAGATGGGAGGAGATGTTAACTCACGTTGACAGAGTGGTGGCTCTGTATCCCAAATGGCAGTATTGTTTGAGATGATACATTTGGCAGATGTGTGACCAATGAGTTGATGCCTAAAGACAAAAAGTGAAAATTATTCCATCCACCTTCCATTAACTTCCTCACAGCATGCATACGTGGCAGATTCGACAAAGTACAATCTGGGAGAAGCCCAAGAACTAGCCTAACCTCCACCTGTTCTATCTGGGTTTCCTTATTTCTCTTTTCTTACCCTTTGACTATCAAAAGGGATATTTCATCTTTAATTCCTCATGGCAGTACTCTACTTCATTGGGTTTCATTGTGGATTGTATCATGACCAAAATAAAATAATCCTCTTGTAGACCAACTTGCTAATTTTTTAAATTGTTTTTTTCCTCATATCTTATTGACATTTAAAATTTGTTTGTATTTTCCTTGATATACACATATAATGAACCCTGCTATGTAATTTTAATTTAGGCAAGTTTCTTATAAATACCCTATTCGATGCTTTTAATCCAATTTAGAAGTCCTTTGTCTTTCAATAGGAAGATGAAACCATTCAGATTTACAGAATTAAATGGTATTTTTGGTCTTGCTTTTGTCATCATTAGTTAGACTACCAGTTTCATAATGTCCAAAGATGAAGACGCAGCAATGAATAAAACACATCTGCCACAGACAGGAGGGACTTATTTTGGCAGAAAAGACAGATACACTCCTTACTGTTCCCTTTCCTCCTTCTTATTTTCTATATGAACCAGATAGGTGAACCTCATTTAGGTGTTCTATTAATTGGGAAGTTAACTATTATCCAATTTTATTCCATTAGAAATTTCATTTCATGTGCATATATAATACATTTACACAGCACATATATTTAAACCTATTTGCTCAATTTTAATGTCAAAATATACAGAGTTTACCCATCCCCTGTGTAATAGAAGTCTAGTTCATGTTGTTTTACTTTCTTCCATTTTCTGGTTTTATGGATACATTTTATGACTTTGGAGGTTGTTATTAAATTATTATTACATTGCAAAGTTTCACTTTTGAGCACTTAGTTCTGTCATTGTATTTGGCTTCATAACTGTTGAAAATATTTCACCATGATTTTTTGAAATGTATTTTTACAAATTTTCTACCTCACGGATAGTACTTTTGTACTGTGTCATTTTCCCTTTAAAAAATTATCTCTGGATTACCTGGATTTATGTTTTTTTTCTTCCCAGAATATGTACTTAAATAGTGTAATTACTTTCCTTCAATATATATTTAGAGCCTCTGGATATGAATACTATCTTGGCTCATTAGGACACTGTCTTCTGCAATTTAGTGATGCAAAGGGTCACTATCATCCAATATGCATTCATTTCTTTTGCAGGTTTATAGTTTTTAATTTCCTTTCTGAATTTCTAAAGTTTTAAAAACATGTTATTATTTTTATTTTTAAAATAAATTTATTGGGGTGATATTGGTTAATAAAATTATATCGGTTTCAAGTGTACAATTCTATAATGCATCATCTGTATATTGCAGTGTGTGTTTGCCACCCAAAGTCAAATCTCTACTCCTGAAATAACAGGCCTTTCCCTAGTGATGGCTAAAGTACGGCTTATTATTCTCTCTTTGGGAATTTTTGTTCCCTGTATTTTTAATCTTCATTCTGTCTGTTTTAAACATAGCTTCTCTCTTGGATTTTTCTTTATTCTTTTCCACTAAATTCTGGAAGAATTAGATTAATTTTTTCTTACTTTCTGCTTTAATTTTCTACATAATTCAGTGTGTTTATCACAGATTTTTTTTTTTTTAGTTTGACAATTTTGCTTTTCATTCATGTGCAAACATTCTCAATTTCCAACTAGTTTTACAAAAGCAGTGTGCAACTGAATCTTGTAAAACATTTAATCAGGCTATATTCTAAAAGTTTTCCCTGACTCTTGGAAGTAACGGTAAGGGGAAATTCTTTCAGATTTTTCAGATTGGTCTCTTTTACACTATTTCCTGAGACTTATCGTAAGCTCAGTGGTTTGCTGGTTCATACCATGGACAGTCCACTTCTATTTAGCAAAGCAACATGAAGAAGGTACAATCAGAAAATTTATTGACTGTACTTTAAAAAGCTCACAGAAGGAGAGAAGTGCTTAGATTTATTCTAATTTTACTTTGTCAGATTACAGGTACTGCGGTCTGTGAGGCCTAGGGTGGCAAATACATATGTCAACGACCACAAGTGATTTTTCAGTGCTTACCCGGCTGGAGTGTAGCCCAGATTCCCTGATGAGCTCACACAGAGAATGTGACCAAGGGTCCACTGTATGCTGAGCAAGGGTAAGCACCAAGGGCAGGACCACTGACCAGGAGACACTTCATGACTGACATTTTCACAGGGGGCTCTGCTATAGGGTTGAACAGTGTTCCTCATAAAGGTATGCTGAAGTCCCCCTGAGTGTGACCTTATTTGGAAATAGGTAAGAGTTCCTTCCTTTTTAGAGCAGCTTTGCAGACTTGAACAGTGTTCCTCATAAAGGTATGCTGAAGTACCCCTGAGTGTGACCTTATTTGGAAATAGGGTCTTTGCAGAGGTAATCGAGTCAAGATGAGGTCAATAGGGCAGCCCTAATCCAACATGATTGACATCCTTATAAAAAAGAGAGAACTTTGAACATAGATCCACACAGAGAGGAGACATGCTATGTAGAGACACAGATACAGAGGGAAGATAGCCGTGGGAAAACATAGGCAGAAATGGGAGTGATGCTGCCACTGCCAAGGAAGGCCTGAGGCTCCCAGAAGTGGACAGAGGCAAGGCTTTGGAGGGAGCCTGTCCTGCCAACACCTTAATTTTGGACTTCCAGCTGCCAGAACTGTCTGAGAATAAGTCTCTGCTGGTCTAAGCCACCCAGTTTGTCGTACTTTCTTATGGCAGCCCCGGCAAACGAATGGTGCAATTACCTTTAAGATTTATTTTTACACACAGCTGCTCAGTGGCTTTCCTTTTGTTCCAGCTGCGTTAGGGCTATTTATATGGTTTGATTATGCGCTCCCTTCATTTTTTCCTTTCTACCTGGAGAGAACCTCCCTTTTCTTATATGCACTACTGTGGTTTCCACAAAGATTACTGATTTCCCTCTGAATCTCATGAACACTTTGTTCATTTCAATCAGGAATTGAACACCTATATTCAGACTTCTAAAGAGCAGATGGTCTCCTGGCAAGTGTAGCTCAGTGGTTGAGCATCCATCTATGAGCCAGGAGGTCACAATTCGATTCCCAGGTTATAGGCTCAATCTCCAGTGTGAAGCATTCAGGAGGCAGCCAATCAATGACTCTCTCATCATGGATGTTTCTCTTTCATACTCTCTCATCGATGTTTCTGACTCTCCCTCTCCCTTCCTCTCTGAAATCAATAAAAATACATATGTTTAAAAAGCAGATGGTCATTCTCTAGTTCTCCTTTCCAATAGTGACTAGAAGGTAGCATTGCTATTCTGCAAATCTTGAATCAAGAGATGATATTGTCAACTCACCCTATATTACAAGAATAATTAATTCTGGATCCAAGGCTGATGTCTGTGTCGATGTGCACCATGCCATACTTAGGATCTGCAGGAGTTTTACATACTTTACCTGTGGAAAAGAAACAGAATTTTGGAACCAGGTAGAGTAATCTGAACTTTTGTAGTACAGAAGGTCTCAATGTGACTGTAACTTACTAAAGAGTACATGAAATTCTGATGGTTCCACAGATTTTTGCCTCACCAGATGTCTCAAGTTCAGCCACATTCTAAGCACCACTTTAAAAAAGACCTCCCACCTACATCTGTCTTATATCTACCTCAAATTGCTCAACGAAATATAGAGGTTAATCATAGCCTCATATCCTCCCAATATAATTCTTTCTTCCTACCTGGTTATTAAAACAGTGTATGTCTCCTCACAATTTTTTTCCTGGTCTGAAGTTGTTCATTACTTACTTTCCCATAAGGAATAGGTTTTTTTCCCCTGCATATATTTATTAAAACAGTTTCATGAGCCCTGACTGGTTTGGCTCAGTGGATAGAGCGTCGGCCTACGGACTAAAGGGTTCTGGGTTTGATTCCGGTCAAGGGCATGTACCTTGGTTGTGGGCACATCCCCAGTAGGGGTTGTGCAGGAGGCAGCTGATGGATGTTTCTCTCTCATTGATGTTTCTAACTCTCTATCCCTCTCCCGTCTCCTCTGTAAAAAATCAATAAAATATATTTGAAACAAAAACAAAAACAAAACAAAACAACAGTTTCATGAAATAAACATTTCAACTAATAATTAGGGATGACCTACAACACCAACTCTTATATCCACCTACCTGGACACTTTTGAGAAGTAAAGTTTTCTTATTTCTAAAATTTGAAAAAGTTGAAGAAGAGCCTATGGATAATTCGATAGATATGGGAAGCTCCAATACAGGTTTTACTCACGTTTACAGACATCCGGGGCCCCTGCCCACTCCAAGTTGTCTAGACACCTGATAAAGAATGTCCTCCTGTAGTACTCAGGGCGGCATTCATACTTTAAAGATGTCCCAACAGGAAATGCAGATTCATTGGTTTGGGTTTTCAACTCAGCAAATTGAAAATGATCTGGAGCATTACAGTAACCTAAAAACCAAGATATCAAGAACATCAAGTTTTGACATAGAGATACCCAATGCCCTTCCTCTCTCCCCAGTTGGGGTGCATATGGGAGGCCAACCAATTGATATTTCTTTCTATATATATCTATCTATCTCTATCTCTATCTCTATCTCTCTCTCTCTCTCTTTCTCTCTCTCTCTCTCTCTTAGATTTGATGCCAGAACAAAAGAAAGTTTTATTTCTGGAAAGATAATTTCCTTGTAACCTTGGGAGGGCAAGTTTCATTAGCACTTGCCTATTAGAAAATATACTATCTGGGAAAGTATTCTGCTATCTGGTTATTTTGCTCATATAATTTGCTGTCAAAAGACAATTTCAATTCAATTTTTCACATTTTTAGGGAGCCAAAAAAGGTTCTTCTGCTCAGGTTTTACCATTTCTTTCTGAATGCATGGGGTCTTGAGCCAAATAGGTAATTTCCTTGTACGTCAGTGAATCAAAACCCCAGTGGAGGTTTCACAAACATTAATGGAGAACTCAAGGTATTTCTTGAAACTAGGAAGGGGCCACGCCACCTATTTTGTAGGTCTGATTCCTAAGTTAGCCATTTCAACACAAGGAGGAAATAAGTAGCATTTCCTTGAAATAAAACAAACAAAACTACGCTTACTATTATAAGAAAACATTTGTTTGAAGTGTACATTAAATCAAACTCTAGCTTTAGCTCCATACGCCTATGGCCTATGAGATTTAGGGTCAAATAATGTGAATCCCAAACAGTACGAAGCTTGGAAACATAGAAAACACATGCACTTGGTTTGGGCAACACCTTCTATTTTAGCTTCTCTTTCAGCGGCCCTCCGCCTCCTACCGGGTTATTTATTCAAATAGTTATGGCTATTCGACAGCCAGTTCTGCACCCAGACCATTTTCTGTTGGAGGATTTGCAAACCAACTTCTCATCTCTTGAAAGTAATTCACTGATTTTTCTCAATTTAAAAATGTGCTTATTTGAAAGGTTTTTATAGGAAATTTATTCATCTAGATTACCTGTTTAGTTTTATCTCGGAGCTTAACTATTAGCTCTACTGGCTTCTAGTTCAAAGAGTGCCCATCGGGACTGAGATTTATCACTAAGGCCAACTCACACACGAAGGTGGTCTGGTAGGTCTCCAGTCTAAAAATCTAGCTGCTAGAGTTGCCATCTTAGATAGGTTTCTAATGAAAAAAAAATCATAAAACTTAAGAGAAGACTGTCTCTCGCTATTGATTCAGTAAATATGGACCAGGTCTCTACCCTGGTAAACAAGCTTATAAGTGCCTCCCAAATTGAAGCTTTGGAGGAGAAGAGTAGGGCCAAAATGACTTCTGAGTGACTAGCACATGGTCCTTTTCCTTTTAGAATTGTTCTTTTCTCTCAGAGTTTCCCAGTGGTCAGTACATAATGTCCTTTCTACATTTATTTTTTCCTTCCCGAATTCACTCC